CGTAGGCTTGGACACAAGGCCTACTGTCCGTCAGAACTTCGGTTGTATGGGATGACTGGATAATGTAAGGGGCGAAGTGCTTGATGGAGGAAGCTATGGCCAGAGCTTCGATCTCACACGGTAGCCAGGTCACTTGATGCTTTCGCAGTTTCGCGCTGAAAAAACCAGCCAACAGCAGTTTACCGTTCCGGTGGGTGTAGAGTGTGGCTGCGACGCCTCTATTCTTCACAGAACCATCTGTCACGATCCACAAAGCGTCGCGGGGTTGGGGGATTGTGATGGTCTTGTGGTTTTCCAAGGCATGTTGGGCGGACTTGAAAGACAGGAGTAACTCATCGGACCACACTAGTCTTTCTCGAGATTCCTTTCCAGCGGTGGCCTGATCCAAGGGGTCCAGCAATTCAGCGAACTTAGGGAGTACTCGGCTGAGCACCTTGTATGCACCAACGAAAGATCGTAGGCCTTGAACAGTAGTAGGAGGGTCAACAGAGGATAATGCGGCTAACTTGTGGGGGCTAGCCTGTAGGGTGCCATTAGACCATACCCAACCCAACACGGTGGCCTTTCTGGGACAGATGAGTGTTTTGGGCGCGGAGAGACGAAGATTGTTGCGTTGAAGCAAGGAAAGAACGCGCCGCCAATTATGAAGGACATTTGTAGGGTTGCTCCCACCAACGTACAGGTCATCAGCAATTTTGGCAACACAACCCTCTTGAATTAGGTCACCCAGAACTCGAGACATTAGCTCCTCGAGGCATGTTTCCGACCCAGGCATGCCCATAGCAGAGCGGGTATAAACACGGATGCCTTTAAAGGGTGTGGCTACCCCACAGTACTTCATGGAAGAGTGAGCCAGTGGGATTTGATAGAACGACTTTAACAAGTCCGAGATAACCATATACTCCCACTTCCCAATTTCACGCAGTACACCATCGACGTTAGGCATTAGAGAAGGCTGGGGCTTGCTATACTGGGCAACTTCGCCGAAGGATGTCACAAGTCTGCTACCCCCATTGGGTTTCTTAACAAGGAAGGAGGTATTCAAGTGCTCAACGTGTACGTTCACCTGTTCAGGTCTGGCAAACACACCAGCCACTTCGAGCTCGTCAAATTTGGCTTGCAATTCCTCAAGGGTGCTTCTGTTGTACTGTGGGAGTCTGCCTTTACGCTGAGGGGGGAGTGTGGGACCAATGTTGACAACAGCTTCAATGGTACCGCTAGCGCCGTTATATTTCGAGATAGTGGGGTTGAAAACATCATCAAACTCCAGGTTCAGTGCTCTGAACTTGTCGCGAATGTCCTCGTCTAAGCAGCCATCGGGGTCAAAGATCACATTAGTGGAGAAGGGCTGGCAGCAGGTAGGGGCAGTAGTGGCCGTAGAGGTAGGGGCAGATGTGGTGTCTATGCTGTCAACAGGTATAACATGCCTTACATGACACAGCTGCTCGCCGGTCCGTAGAAGTATAGGAGAGTCAGTCGTATTGGTTATGCGTACAGCGTGGTCCACAGAGAGGATTTGTTGAGGTGGGGGCCATGCTCCTTCTGCCTTGAGGGGGGTGTTGGATGGACAGTCTAGTCGGGGTTCAAGGGCCCATAATGTATCTGGGTCAGAATCACAAGGGGTTTCAAGCTGAACGTACTCTCCTGGCAGTATGACTGTGCGTTGCGGATTGCGTAGGAGAAAGGACTGGGTGCGTCGCACAGCTGGTTGAGTAGTGTGTTTGGAAGCAGTACCATAGTGGATTACGTCAGACCCGCCGATTACAATTTGGCGCCTGGCAGGACGGATGCCGATGTCGTTTCGGGCCAGGAAGGGGTTTCCCGCTAAAATGTCAACATCGAGTTGGCGAACAACTAGGGCGTCTAGTTCAAATGCTTGCTGTCCACGAGTGAGAGTGCAATGCACTTCACCCACCACATCCATAGGGGTAACTCCATCGGCTTGGCGAGCCATCTGAGAAGCTGGGGTAACAGGTAGGCCATATAACTTAGCGGCCGAGGCACGAACCATGTTAGACGTGGCGCCAGTATCAAGGGTGAGCTGCACGGGGTGCTCGTGGTAAAAGGTGTTGAGAACAGGTGATTGAATGATGCTGACACGGAGTGCAGTAGGTGCAGTAGGTACATCACTGTGCTCAGGCGGGAGGGCATGATCGCAACACTCATCATAAGGGCCACAGTCGCCGGTCGCAAACTCATCAGGATCGTCGTTTATAAGACGTGAGCGGGCCAATGGTCTCCTGTCACGATCAGGCAGGTAACGGCACTCCATTAGATCATGGGTGTTGTGAGGGCGTCCAGCGGTTTTGCAGAGAATACAAGAAACAAATGGACGGCGGCGTGGTTGGCCCTGTCCGCCATTAGAGGTGCGTCTGGGGTTGACATTGCTAATACGCATGGCTTTGGTGTCCTCTATGGAGCGTAGTTCATCAAGGAGGGAACTAAGAGCTTGTGAGATCTCTGGCTTGAGTGAGGCAAGGGTCTTGTTACGCAACTCAGAACCATACTTCTGCTTTACCAGTAATGGTAGGCCAGGGTGGATCAGCTGCAGCCACAGAACTACTATAGTGTTCTCAAGCGATGGGGAAAGATCTTCATCTGCGGTCACCTGCTCACCGTGGTGGGTTAAGCCACCATTAACTGCAAGGAGGTTGTCTTCGAAGAAGGCCATGAGGCGTTGGAATAAGTCCTCTGGTCGCTCAGCAGTTTGAAGGCTGATGCTTGCAAGGTCGAGGAAATGGGCTCCGGAGGACTGGAACCCAAAATGCTGGCGAATTTTCTGCCAAATGTCATTCAGAGAGGTAGAGTGCTTTACTATGGAGTTCCTGGAGATCACGGGGCAAAAATTGGCAATCTGTCCGAGCAGAAGATCCAGGTGGGCATTTTTCTGAGCGGCAGTAAGTCGTTGTGCCTCAGGTACAGACGTGCCATCATTCGTAAGGCCTCTTCGAGGGTTGGCGGCGGTTTGTTTTTGCCATGTGGCCTCTAAAAATGGGACAAAGTTCTTGTCCAGGGATAAGATGTAGACTAAGTTTTGCCTCCAACTTTCGTACGAGGTGATGGTCTCGTTTTTCGTAAGCTGCCATTGTTTAGGCGCCCTGGGAGCGGCGGCCATGTTGGTTTTCCTACACGAGCGGTTACGGCGAATTCACGTTGATTTGTTGATCTTCGCACTTCGTGAAAATAAGGGTCACAGGTTCCAGACGACCACACTTGTGTTAGGGTCCACCGTACGTGGGTAAAAGCCGCTGCCACCACGCCAATAAGGAACTAACTGTGTCTTAACGAAGGTTTATTGAAGACCGAACGAGAACCGCATGGTATTACAAAGATGAGCCACGGGCGCATGCGCGCGCTAGATACCGCTGAAAGTAACGCAATAATAACGTAGTGGCGTTACATGTATGTTTGGCTTGTTTGTGAAACCCACACAAAAATTCTATTGTCTGACTCAGAGACATCACTGATGACACCCCGTGTCTCTTGTCGTTGAGGCACCCGTACGATCACATGGAAACCACCTATCGTCCCAGTTGTCTGGATCATCTCAAAACTTTTTTAAACGACTGGGGTGATCGGGATGATCATATGGAAACAAGGCTTTATATGCCTATCTCCCCATAATAAACACTTAGAGATCTCCATCTTTAAGGTGATTGCTGCAGAGTTTCACCTACAGCTGTATCCTAACATTAAAAGCCGGAGTCAAGCTTAATATTTTAATTAGAGAGCATCATAAAATAGTTTTCCTGGAGAAGATTTCAAAGGTGTATTTTGATGTGGCATGCGATTGAGTTACAATGTAGAGCATTTCAAACTTAAAAACTTGAATCTTTAACAAAAAGAGTTATAGAGAAGCTGTTAAATGATGAGGATGTTTTTGTAAACCAACTGAATCTGGATTGTATTATTTTCCATTCTGCACAAACAAAAATATTATTATACCACCAATTGTTAACGAAACAAAAGAATGTTACTGTACTTACAGTAAACACCCACTCACTAATAAGAAACTGTGGTTTAAGAACCTGCTGGAGAACATAAAGTCCTGAATAAAGCAGCTAAAATAGTTCTAAAATAGGCTGGGCAAAAAGAAAAGGAAACTCAACAAGGCGGCTCTCAAAACAGTTAGCAAGCTAAGTCTGGGGCAGTTTCCTGGAAAGAGACGGTTGGAGGCCTGTGAGATGGCAAAAAAAAACCTTGCTCAGTCCACCAAGCAACGTTCAGCTAGTCTCCTTGGCAAAGAAGTAAAAAAACCTTACTGCAGAGAGAGGCCAGGATGATTATATTTTGTTTACATGAATGCTTAAAATATTTTTTTGGCTGCCTAATCTAAAAAAATGATATTGTTTGGGGGTCAAAGTGGCTTCTGTGTGCCAGGTGATGAAAAAGCTAAAAGTGACTCATATGGGACTCTAGACGCTATGATGACTTATCCCACTCTATGCCATGTGCAATGGCTACAGAATGTGATAAGAAAAAAAAGGGGACCTGCAGCTTAGTGAAATTCTGAATACAATCATGTACTTGATAGAGCAATAAAGATCTTTTAGAAATTTCATGTAAAAATAAAGTTTTGATCAAAAGTTAACACTGAGCATGAAATTAGAGGAACAAACTTTTGGGACACCCTGTACATCTCCTTCATAAAAATTAAGAACCTACAGTTGTACTTAGCCTTAATTACTCTGTAACTTACTCCAAAATAAATGAACCTTTTTTGCCAGACCTCAAAAAAAAAATGTAAGTTAGGTTCTTATTAGCGAGTGTTTACTGTACATGTATCTCATTCATTTTACCTGCTTTGGTTTCTTAGTTAGAGCGATAACACAAGATTTACTACAAACATCAGTGAACTTAAGCCAGTGTATGTGGCTTAATGCAGTCATGTCCAGTGATTCCAGTCAACTGCAGCATTAAATTTAAACATCTGCCTTGATGACATTTATTCATGAAAGTAAAATAAGAACTGTTGACGTGTGTCTTCGAATTTTTTAGTTTTAAACAACAATTACCTTTTCAATTCTACCCTCGTCTGTAATAGCCTGTAAAGCCACAGCAATGTGACCCTCCACGGTCACTGTTATTCCACGTACATCATAACCTACTTTTTCATCCAGCTCAATTCTGCGAACAGATTCGCCATTAACAGTGTATATAGCCAGCGTCAGGCGGAGTGTCTCTCGTTCCTGACCAGCAAGGACAACATGGTCTGCACTTCCCGGGTGACATGCAATGCGATAATAGACATCTCTCTCATGTTTGATATTAAATTTGCCAAGCTGGTGTCCCTCCACATCAAATATGTAAAAACTGTCATCGCCCCAGTCCACTGTCATGACGCGACCATCACAAGTAGCAGTGATATCTCTTGGAAACTTGAACACTCCTCCACCAAAGCTACAAACGAACTCGCCAGTCGGCTCCCGGTAAACATCAACAAGGTGACGTGACATCAGCAGAATTTTGCCGCGTTGTTTGCCGCTGGTCACTGTTAGTCTCCAGACCCCTCTCCTCGCAGGAAACTTGTGCTGTAGGTCACCAGTCTTGTTAAAAACCTGCACTTCACTCTCCCGTTTCTCAGCCCCAGGCTTCCACAGTCTGATCAGAAGATAAATCCTGTCGTCCTCGCCTGCGGTGGCGACATCCCAAATCTCTAACTTTGTATCGGCGTCATCAGTTTGAGGATTAAACCTAAAATCAAACTTTCCGTTGCTATCAAACACCTTCACGGTTTTATCCCCATCGTCTGCTATCAGGAATTGTCCTCTATGGTTTGTAGCGATACCACGCGGATCCTTCAGCTTGTGCTCCTCTTCACCCTCCTGACCAAATGACCATAGCAAACAGCAGCGCTCGTTACCTTGTTTTGTCAGTGCTTTAACAACTCTTTCGTGACGGAGTGGATCAACTTTCTCTTTCCCAGTTTCAACATCAGGCAACGTCCACATTTTTCCACTACCGAGCATGTTCATTACATCAAAGATCACACGATTAGCGTGACAGACAGAAAAAATTATTTGCCTTCTTTCGTCTTTATTAAAGCGAGCCCTCAATCTCAATCCTTCCTCCAACTCAACTTTGAAATATTCTTTAACAGCTGGCACTTGGTGTAACTCGTCAAGGCAGACGCTACAAGCCGCTAATGCTTCGGCAGGATTGTCAACCGTCTCCAGTATTGTCGCCATCAGTCGATATTGCATAGCTAACAGGCGATCAGGCAATTCCAAAGCTTCATTATTGAAAGCTTCCGTCGCTTTAAGGCGAGCTTCTTCAAATCTCTTCTTCGCTCTGCCCAGCTTCCTCATGGCGGACTCATCCAAGGCAGAAATGTCCAATTTCCTCATTTCTTTAGCAATATCGAATTGCTCAACACAAGCTGTTGCAGCTGCTGTTATCGCGCGATGCTCGCTACTGGGTCTGGCACTTTCAAACAACTCATACAACAACACGATTCCTTCCTTAAAAAGGCTGATACTCGCTAACAAATCCTTTCTTGCTAAACCATCCAACTTCGATCTTATTTCATCGATTTCACGGACAATCAGGCCACGAAATTTCTGATCTGTAACATCACCCTCATTCAACTTTTCTGCCAGTTTATCTCTTCCTTTATTCACCAGCAGGCCGATAGTGGCTTTAAATACAGCTGTTATTAGTGAAGACATGTTGAGTACTTCTGTTAACGAAGATCTCGGTCTGCACTGGTATCTCCTTAGCCGTTCAGTTCAACCCGGCTGACTGTAGATAAAGAAATGCACGCGAGGTTATCAGTAATAAATTAAACAGGAAAAATTCCAAGAAAAATTCTAAGAACTTAGCAAAAAAGAGAAGAAAATGATTGTCTAATACTTTAGAGAAGAAAATTAATAGAAGGTCTACCGCTCACGGGTTGTTGATGGACTGTGTTCTCTAACTACAGTTGACTCCCGATAACTCGAACCCTCGCTAACTCGAACCTCGCGCTAACTGAACCAAAATCGATTTACCCTGGATTTCCGTCATACATTCACTGTAATTTTACCCTCGGTAATTCGAACCCTCGATAACTCGAACTCCCGCTAACTCGAACCAATTTTCGTTTTCCTTCAGGTCATTTTCGATATAATTTTACCCTCGATAATTCGAACCATGTTTTGAGCCCTTAAAAAGTCGGGAAAAAAGCCGTCTACTGGCGACCGAAACATTGAAGTTTGGTTTTCCTATTGACGTGTTGTGGGAGTATAGTTTACTAGTGGAGGCTAATGTTGATTGTCACAGGCTAACGTGAAGCAGCTTTTCTTCTCAAAATAGTAAAACGCATGCTCTATTTAGGCTATGTTTTGTTGCGTTACGTTCTGATTTATAATCTAAAAGTATCTTTTAATTTTCACTTGAAATTTCTACAATTAAATGAGATTAAAATGTTCACTGTGCAGTAAAAACTGTTTTTTACCTTACTCTCGGCTATTTTCTTCGAACTCCCGATAACTCGAACCTTTTTTTTTGATTTCCCTTGAAGGTTCGAGTTATCGGGAGTCGACTGTATATACAGCTAGCCTGCGAAAACATCCGTTTCTCCTCACTGTTCGCCGATGGGGACGTTTCGCGCGGAGGAAACGTCCCCATCGGCGAACAGTGAGGAGAAACGGATGTTTTCGCAGGCTAATATACAGCTAGCCTGCGAAAACATCCGTTTCTCCTCGCTCTTCGCCGCTGGGGACGTTTCGCGCGGAGGAACGTCTGCGACCCAGCGACAAAAATTCCATACTGATGACGCAAAATCTGTCCGGAATCTGGTCAGAAGCGCTGATTGGTCGACAGAGTAGTTACATTGTTTTACCTATTGTTTACGACTGACAGACAAAAGACAAAAGGCCACAGAGGTCAAATGTAAACGCCAAGAATCTACAGCAAAACAGTCAATATTTGTTGAATATACTCTTCTCTAGAAGAAGTATTTGAGTTCTGCTGGAGCTCGTTGGCAGATGAACACAAAAATTTACCAAAATCGACCAGAAGACACGTAAAACTGTACAAATTTGTGTTTGGAACCCCATGACTACCGGATTTATTATGTAAACATTGATTTGCGTCATCAGTATGGAATTTTTGCCACTGAGTCGCAGACGTTCCTCCTCGCGAAACGTCCCCAGCGGCGAAGAGCGAGGAGAAACGGATGTTTTCGCAGGCTAATATACAGCTAAGTTTTCAAAAAAACAAAAAATCAACGTAGTATGTTTTGACAAAAAACACCAAGTGTCTCTTTACTTAAACTGTTAGCTGTGAATTTCATCACCGGGACCGTTTGGGCCCGTCCGGCAAGCACGTCACGCCGGGGACGTCACGTTAGAAAGACTTGAACGCTATCTTCTTATTTACGATCCAGTCACCTCAATTCATGTGTGCAGCAATCTCATTTTGCCAATGATATGTCTGATGTACTACAGAGTGAATTAATGGTTTTGGTATTCTGCCATTTCAGTTGCGTTACACAGTATAGTAATTAAAATCATAATCACGTGCTGATCTTCTCTAGTCAATTTATTTATCGTCACTTTCAACACCACTCTCAGCTGTTCATCGTAATTCGGAAAGCTTCGGGAGACCTGTTTGTTTCAACATTGACGTGACATTTTATGTGCTTGAAATAAGGGTGGCATAGATTAAAACACTAAGATCGGCTTCAGTATCGATACCTTTACATGCATGTAATAGAATTTCAAATCAGACAAAAGTCTAAAAGAGGGGGGTAAGGAGGGTACGAACACCGCGAAACCGCTCAGAAATACCGGTATATAAACACCAAACACCGTACAGAATAACATAACAAAACCGCACAGAAATACCGGTATATAAACACCGTTCAGAATAAAACCGCAAACCGCATTGAAATTTGGCAATGTCTAAATACCGCAAGCCGCTAGGTTTTAACTGCATTACAGCATCTTAAAAATAAAACTTCCCGCAAAACCTCACCAAAAATCGAGCAACACCGCATCACCGCAAACCCTTACGCCCCCCGCGAGGGGCGTAAGGGTTTGCGGTATTGCGGTATTGCGGTATTGCGGTATTGCGGTATTGGGTTATTTTTGGTGCGGTGTTGCGGTAATTTTTATTTCAAAGTACGGTATTGCGGTTTTCAGAGACCAAGCGGTGTGCGGTGAGTTTAAATTTTATGTCGCGGTAGTCGGTGAAAAAATCGTTGCGTCGCGGTGATCTGCTTCTTTTTCATGCCAAGAGGATACAAATCCTAAGAGGTCTCCCTAGCTAGCCTGCGTGACCTGCGTGTCTTCCTATAATTGCTCAGTCGGGGATCGTATATTGCGCAAACAGTCCAGACAAATCGTATGGCTTGTAATTTCAGTTAATACTTGATATGAGTAACGACATTAACTTCTTTATCCAATGATACGTAAACATGTCGCATTATTTATGACCTCATGGACCTTGTGGGAGTAGTCAGCTTGGTTGACCTCCTTACCAATATTACGGCCACTTTCGTGCCAGTCGCGAAACAATGGCAAGCGATCCAGAGAGTCAACTAAGTGATCAGTCAGATATTCCAGCAAATAGTGAGCTCAGTGAGGTCGTTTTAAATTACGTAGTGTCGAAAGAAGAAGATGGTGTGGTCTAAAATTTAGTTCGTTACATTGCGTAAGCCCGAGAAGCCCGATCTCAACCAGCAGGTGAAACAAATTAACCTGACTCTCTCCCTGTAAAGAACTAAGCGTCACTCATTTAGTTTTGTTTTAATACGCAATATTGACAACGCGATGTAACGAACTTTGTAAGATCGCGCGCGCTTTAAATTCAACGGCGATTTCAAAATATGTAACACTGAGGGTGACGGATGTATCGTCGAAACATGTCGGGAAAATTAAAGAAAGTTGTTATGTTTATATGACTATTTGAAAGGAGGATTTTTAGCATTGACAACGTCAACTTTTTCCCATTTGTAACTGCGGTTTCGGTATTTGGCTAAATTTTGATGCGGTATTGCGGTATTCTAGCGCTACCATGTGCGGTATTGCGGTATTCGCACCCCCCCTTACGCCCCCCTCATATTAAAACCGCATTGAAATTAACCGAAATGTCTACACACCGCAAACCGCTAGGTTTTAACCTCATTACCGCAACTTAAACAAAAAATCCTCGCAAAACCGCACCAAAAATCAAGCAAAACCACTTCACCGCAAACCCTTACTCCCTCCTCTAAAAATTGCTAAAACTTATCGACCAACCGTGGTCAAATAACATCTGCTCCTAAAACAAATCTATACTATTAATTAGTTTTGAGCAGTATTTTTCCTTGTGTTTCGTGTGAATTCGCTTCATTAGTAGCGGTAAAAATTAATGAAACTGTTAGGATTTTAGTTTTACGAGACAAAATGTCATGGAAAGGGAAGTATATTCGACCAATCGTGAAATCATAACAACACTTTCTTACTGAATTGAAACTTGAGCTAAGCTGAAATAAAATTTCATAAAGCAAAGCTACTGAAAAAACGTTTCGTCCCACGTTTAGTCACAGAAAAACTCAAGCGTGAGATCAATCTAAATGAAATAAAGTACGCGCTCAGTCTACAACAACGAACGCTTCAATTTACTTGTATCTTGACTAATATTTCAGGGTTTGCTTGCTTATTTGTTGTTTATTTCAGGGCAGTGTTACAGAAAATTCAGATATTTTTTCCCGAGTTCTGATAACTTGGGAATCGTATATAATGTGCTATTCACTGATTTTATGTAATGTTATAAGCACCTGTTGGCGTGTTTTAGATCGGTTTCAGAATTATCAAAAATGGAGCGACTTGACATAACATTAACAAAGTTTATAAAACTACAGGTACTCTTGTTGATGTTAGGTTTAGGGTATATACTCAGAACTTTCTGAGTTTAAAATAGCATGAGTTGGTATAAAACTAACCCTTATACTGAAGAACCTTTTCGTACTCATTCGTTGCTCCTTCAGCTCCTCGTGAGCGAAGCACGTTATTTCAGAATCATGGTCATTTTCATTCTTAACATTTCAGCATGATTATTCCGATTTCAAACAAACTTAGTCTTTCCTTCAAACTGAAAGGCGAGCGGTGTTAGGAACGAATTTCAATTGCCTTCTAAAGGACGATTATTTCGATATCTACCATCACGTTAAGACCACAGCAACTCTTTAGACCTTTCCAGTTGTGCAATATTTTTTTCTGTTATTTTGAGCCCACGGTGATTCTCAACTGAGTTTCGATACTGTTTTCGTTAAATTGAAAGAACCACTGAGTACTGTTCAGTAAAACGTTTTATTCCAAGTAAAAATCTGCATTTCATCTTACTTAGCTTTACTTCTATATTTGCAATTTGGTGAAATTCGGCTTAAATTCACCGATAGAATGCAGGGCCACTTGCACACTTCATCAGGGATCGAGCGGTTCGTTTGGCTCAGTTGTACAGGGCACAACAAAAGCCCGCTGACGGCCACCGAAAATATAACCGCCTTCATCGTTCTTAATTCTAGTGTATCCACAGCCGTAGTTTATGACTTCATACATGGCCCTATTTACTGTGTAACTGCTCCCCTCAAAAGGCATAAATTTTGCTTTTGCTTCATAACTTTGTGCTTCATGATCAGTAAAAGGAGGGTGGCTTGAAGACCCAGCTTAAAGCAGGGTTAAATCAATGTTATCAGACTTCGGGCACATAAGAGAAGATTAATCGGAAAAAAGAAACTTGTGGTTGTTGATAGTTATCGATATAGTTTGATCAAGGGATTTTATGTAACCCGTAGAGCAGTATGTCGTAAGAATTAGTGCTCAATAGTTTACGACTAAACAAAAGAAAGCAATGAAATAAGAGTGTAATACGCTGAAGAAATGTCTGCTATCTACTCATCACAAGTTAAGGGGTGTCAGACTATTAATGATAAAGCTAAGAAATACAACTTCCTCAACATTATGCATTACTCAAGTTAGAAAGTAAACTTCAATCCAATATGAATAAATTCGGCCAGTAGTAACTCTTTAAAGTTTGCTAAGACTAGTCAGATCAGAAACTACGAGATACTGACATGTTTATATAAAAAAAAACGTCTTTTAGATAGAGTTCTCGTCCTTACCTGTTTTGTATCGAAGGATTTACCCGGCTGCCGGACTAATAGCGAATAGACTGCGCGTTTATTAAATGGTGACGAAGAACTGAGCTGAACTTTACTGACTGTTAGTGGTCCACTATTTTATATATGGAGTTTCCAGACAAAAATATTCTTGGAATTTATATTTTCCGTGTTGGCCGTTGTGTTTTCGCTGACTCGTTAATGACAAAGATAACATATAAGCCCACTGAGTCAATATAAAGCGGAAGACATAACAGGCCCAGATTATCATATCCTTACTTTTCATTCCCCTTGATGGCTTCTTTGATGACCGGTAGCGCCAGTTATATTAACGAATGCCGTTGATTTCAATACCCAAGTGATATAGTGGTAAACGTTCCTCGCTACACTTGAATGATTGTACCTCCGGTGAATTACTAATCAAAATCTCTCTGTCGACCACTTTTGAGTTTCCAGTGAATTCCGCATTCTGTGTCCTACAGTGAAACACCTGTCCATATGATCTCTCATTTTAATTTGATCACGTTTACATGATAGGTGGGGTGACCCGCCACATGTTACCTCATCTATATGGGGTCCCCCATCTCTATGCAAACAGGCCCTAAGTCGCCGCAAGTTTTTACTGTATTGCAACAAACCAAACAACTACAGTCACTTTATAGGACAATCAACTTGAAATCAAATTTAAACTAGCTTGACAGAACTTTTTTTTTCTGCATTCAGGTCTTCATCAAGCAAAGCTAGAAAACTGTCCCACATTTGGTTTTAGAATCAGTAGCAAGCGCAAGACCAGTTTATTTTTATGAAGTCAGGCGGATTTTCAACGATGCTTTACACGCGGGGAGGGGGGATTAGGGGCTTCCTGCAATTTATAGCTTATGCAGAAATGTTGCCCGATAGCGTTCCTTATAGGGACAAGTGGTCCAAAAGGACAGGTAGAATTTTGGCAGAATACTATTTGAGAATTCAGTATATTCGCCCTTTGGGTTCGGGAACCACTTTAAGTCTTCATCTTTCCACTTCTCTGGACTTGCGCTTTCACTTGTTCCCACAGCTGAGGTGCCATCAACAGAGTCAGAGGAGTAGCGGGCATCCTTTTTAGAATGGCGAGTCGGCAAACAGCCACAATAGCCACAAGTTGCTCCATCTGACCTCATGAAATCCTCGCATTCACCACAAGCACATTTCCCTCTTTCTATTCCTCGTACATCCTTGCCCATTTTCAAGTTTTCACCGTACAATCACACGCCTCGCAATTAACTACTTTGTGCGCAGATGAACGCGGTTATATGAGTAACACTTCCAGTTTGTTATTTTCACTTCCGGTTATTTTTGTCTTGGATAGGTAGGGGGGAGGGTCAGATGTATTGGTTTGGGTATTTCTGAAGGGCATTAATCCATTTCAGGAAGTGGGAGGGCCACGACATTTTTTGTACAAAAATCTTTCATTTAAGTACTTAAATATGATTGCTATATCATTTTCATTTATTAAACGTTACTCTAAGTGACATAGAGACTTCCTGTTTTAGCGATTCATTCTTATTAGACAGATCGTGTAAACTGCCGGGTAGTATTTTCAATGGAAGGTGAACGAAAGAGATACCTTTTCAGGGAAAATGGTATATAAAACCATGTAAATGTTATAGTGAGTAGCCCCTTTCCCCAGTTTTTTACACCATCAAACATGACATTTGACGCCTCTGTAAAACTCAATTTTGCTGCTTATTTATTTACACTCTATTTGGGGGGAAACAAGGTCCGTTTTTTTCTTGGCTTCTTCCTTTTAGGACTGGTCGGCATTAAAACGTGTAGTTTTCGTGGAACACAATTTTTTTTCGTGGAACGCCAACTTGTCGCCTTTGTGTTTAAACTCCAGGCCCCAGTCGTTCAAAAGGTGGCTAACGTTATGCACTGGATTTTTCTCTATCAAACGGATAGTGCATGCAATTCAGTGGTGTCCCTAATACTTCATGTCCTTTGGATAACGATTTTTCCGGTGGATAAACAACTGGAGCCAGTTTCGCAGAGTTAAACTGGGTTGTTTTCACCAGAAAGCGCCGGAATTTTGGGGGCTAGCGCAGTTACGAAATATTTTAGCCGAGAAGCTAGAAAAAAATGATATTATATTTTCTGGCTTTATAGCATGTTGACAGACACGGACGCTACCCTTTTATGGGTCAAAAGATTTTATGATTTAGGTCACAATTAAAATAACGCGGTTTCGGAATATTGCTTGCTTACCATTCCTTAAAGATTTTGGGACAGTTAACCACAGGTTAATAATTTTCCCTGGAGGCGTTAAAACATGAAAGACTATTGATGCTTTCCGACAGCGTTTTATACTGCGTGTTGAAAAGTTGATCACGCAAATAAAAATCTGGATTGCTTTGACAGAAACAGGCAAACGATGCACCCCCAGGAACAGGGCACCCAGGCTATTTTAAGGATTATTAGCATGGCTGAATCCGCGAGCCGGCAATATGACGCGAAACCTGTGTACTGATTGGCCACTCGACTGAGCCTGAAAGATGTGCCCATCTTGCCTTTCGACATTTTCCGCCTTGGTCCAGCAAGAAAATGATATCTTTTTGGCCATGAAATAAATCCTTTATTGACCCAGCTTGTTCGGTCAAGATGGCTGGATATTGGCCTCCTCGTTCTTTTTTGCGCTGTTATTATCGTCTTTTTTGATCCGTGAATGCGAAACAAGAACTTGATCAATATCCAACCTTCTTGATCTCCCGCTTGGTCAATAACACATATCAAGAGCCTGTACATGTGTATTAAAGGACTTCAAAGAAGCCTGAGCCCCCTGCGGCGTAACAACACAAAACGGGCTCTAAGAGTTAGTTAATATATCGAAGATTAAACGCACATTGTATTAAAATACTTCATACTTGACTGGGTTCTTTCTCATTTTTACACTACTTCACATTTGATCGAATTACATGTATTTTGATGATGTTCTGTTCATTAGGACACTTTGTGATGGCTATCATAATGATAGTCCATCTCATTAGGGTTCGATCCTGGATATACTGCAACCAGCCGCTTATAAAGCCCCCCACCCCACACACCCAACCAGCTGTAGGCCTATCAACCCGTAAACAAAAAAATACATCCGATTATTATCCCCACCCCCCAAATGTATTGAAATGAATTCTATTTATTATGATCTTTTGACGCTTAGTTAAAAACCAGTAAATGCAAAATTATTTTGACTAGCACTTCTGTAGATTGCTTCGAAGCGTTTTCTATTCCTGTGATAAGCTCCCTCGGATATAAGCCCCTCCGTTTATAAACCCTCCTAAAACCCCCTACCAAGATGTAGAAGCGGCAGTTTACGATAAGTAGACACCAAAAGGGAAAATTGATGCAAGTATGAAAGACAATAAATATGTCGTTAAAGGATAAGTCATGAATGAATGCCTGTTCTTCTCTCTTTAGACAGGAGTTTGAATTTAAGTTTCAGAAAAGTTGGAAAAAGTTTAAACGGATGTGAGTTTGTTTCTTATTTGTCTCAAGAGATAACTTCCTTTTTCACGTTTTAGTGTCGTTTTCGACTGTTTCTACAGAGAAACGTACACAATATTGTACATTGAAAATTGAAGTGCTGTTTACGTTCACGATCTCACCGATGTTTGAGAAGTTTACACGCAATTAAGTCAGTCACTTGAAATGTCCTGATCTTTCTCGGTCACGACAATGTTTCTTTCCGATTGCCTCGCGTCTCTTTTATGATGGTGTCGATGATGATGATGACGATGGTGATGACGTGACTTCCGGTTCCGGTCACTCTCCTGAGAGCTACTTCTGCGTCTATCAAAACTCCTACTGCGCTGTAGACGACCAGTTTTACGTTCTGAGATACCCTGATGTTTAAACCTTCCTTCACCCGGAAGGAAAGCTCGTTTGTCCTCTTGTTCACTGCCTGCGCTTTCTTCGTTTGGAGAAATCTGTTCATCGTTATTTTTACCGCGAGATTGTAGACGTTCTCGGTTATTTTCACGTTCTTTGCTTAATGGAATGGGTGCATAACTTTGTGCCTCCAGAGTTCCATGACCTTCTTCAAACTCATAATCACGAGCTAAGCTTCTCCATGTCTGTTCGTCGCCGTTCGAGTATGAACTTGGTTTCCGTATGTCCCTGATGTCTTCTTTACGCGCAAGATGGCTCTGTTTTTCCAATCTGTACAAAATGTCTCGACTTTCTTGTTCAAATTCCTCACTGACTTGTTCCCGTCGCCTTTCTGGAAAGCGCTCTTCAGTTGTAGGTGAACATTCGTTAGCTTTTTCATCATTTGAGTTCCTTTCACTTCGTGTTGTAACTGTTGCAAATTTATCACTGCTTTCATCATCTCTTACTGAGTAGCTCTGTTTCATTTTTCTTTCCCCTGATTCATGGTCTTTCATATGCTGTTTGCTATCTGTTCTCTGAAGTAACTGTGATCGTGGGGACTTCGAATGTCTTCGTGGAGACCTCGAGCGTTGTCGCGGAGACCCCGAGTGTCTTCGTGGAGACGGCGAGCATCTCTGTGGGGAATTTGAGTGTTTTCCTGGGGACGTCGACCGTCGTCGAGAAGACATCGGGGGTCTTCGAGGAAAATTCGAGCGTCGACGGGCAGATCTAGAGCGATCTCGAGAAGACCTCGACTGTCTAAATGATGATCGTACACGACGCATAGGACTCGGACCTTGTACGCCTGCGTGGAGACCTTGACCGAGCCACCAAAGGTGGAGAAAAACGGCGCGAAATGTTCCGGGTTTCATCCGGAGAAGAAGGCGGGGGTGTGCGATACCGCTGAAAAATAAAAATCATGTGATTAAGTTCTGTTTCAAACCCTGCCAAATGGAATTTCTAACGATTGAATACCCTCGGGCCAGGTTCTTTGCTTGGGAGGGGGGTACACTGTAAGTGGGTTTTCAGAGATGTGTTTTTCCTTGTTTTGTCTTCTGACGGCTTCTAAATGATTCATTACTTAGTGATATTTCCTTTTCTCCTGGTGTATTGTTTTTCTCGTAAGGAAGTTTAAACTAATACCCTGGGAATTTCCTCACCATATTTCCTCGTCCTCGTAGAATCCTTCCCGTCCTGGAAAACTGCCGATAAGAAAGACAAACAGAGATGGATTATAGAGGGTAAGAAGTTTTATAATTGTGTTAAAAGAAAGAAAAATAGTTACCCACAGAATCCGAGGTTCAGTTTAAGGAACCAAGAGACTCGGATGTAATTGTTTTATTAATAATTGTGGATATTTTCTATTGAAGGTATAGACCTTATTCACAACAACCACCATCTTTGCACGCGTTCAAGGGTTGATGGGATAGATGCAATGTCACGTGATTTATCAGTCCGGAAGTGCATGCGAAGATGGCGGATACAATGAAATAAGGTCTACTGATCTCCCAAACAATATCATTTCAGCAGGTGTACATACCCTGGTCCTTTGCTGTGAATTACTTTGAGGAGGAGCTTTATACCCTAGAGGAGACTTACTTTTCCTGTGGTCATACAAACAAAACATAATATAAACAACTTGAAGATACTGCTGCCATCTATCTCTCAACATCTGAACAACTTTTTCTGAACCATTTGCCATCAGAATCAGTTGAGCAGTGCTATCACATGGTACTATGTAGTTTTAATTTTTGAGTCTGTGGATGAAATCCTATGGTGTGACCATTCAAATGAAACCTCTTCCATCAGTAGTACTTTCACATGGTACCATTTCCTTAGTGTGTAATCAGGCACGTTGGATGAAATGCACTTCTTAGTTTTGCGTCCGTGGATGAAATCTAGTTGTCTTGCCATTCCAAAGTACTTTTGTATGTCACAATTAATTTTAATAGTATATACCTCAGAGCTTTGAACAAAGAAAGAGCTTTGCCTTGGGCAAAATTTATCATTTGCAAATTTAGTATGGACTTACATGCTCAAAAATTCCTAATTCATGATAATTATGCACCGAAAAGGGAATGAGCCAAGCTCTCGTAGAAATGACTAAGGTCAGGTGTACCTCAGAGAAAACATACCTATTTTTTGCCTGCTGAAGCCTCTTTTCCCTGACAGGGGAGGGGGTGCGGCTTCTTCTCAATAGAAAAGAATTATTGGGAACATCTGGGATCTCATCCACAGCCACTGAACTAAAAGGTTCAGGACTCTTTGGTTTAACATCTCCTGGACTGGAATTCAAATTAATTGCTGATATTAGTGTCCATATTTCACTAACAGGGAAGGAAGTGGGGGGGGTAAAAGCAACTTTATTATGT